TATGATATTATTCACTATCTTCTACATTTGTACCGATTTAAATAGGATTGGGTTATTTCTAAAAACCTGGTGCTATAAGCACAACTGTTTAGTGAAAACAGGTTCTGTTTTATTCACAATGAAAACTATTTTTTTTTTTTTTGCCTCTTCCATTTACATTTAAACTATTGTTTGATAGAGTAGATGAAACATAATATTGGGTCAATGAAAACCAGAAAACAAACGCAAAGTTTTTTGGGAAAAGTTAATCCTAATGCATGAAATACAGGTTTTATGGATTGTAAGCTGTGCTCCAAAATTTTAATCAATATAGAATAGCTAAATCCATATATGACCACTTGTTATAATATACATAACAATTGTGTTTTACAATAAACACACTTGTTTGTGAACTGCATTTCATAAAATGTGAAAACTTCACATTTTGTGAAAAGTTTTTGCATTTTCACAAAATGCGGTCCAATTACATTGCAGTAATTGGACCAGGGGAGGATTGGCCATCAGAAGGTTTGGGGCTTTAAAATGGAAACTTTGATTAAAGGTCTTCTAAACACTAACTTACACATAGTACCCAAAGTGCTGCCGCACAAACAATTTCAAAGTGGTTGAAGCTTTTGTAACCTTTATTTTCTTTTTCCTTTTTGCTTTTAAAGGTTGTCAGTTGCCCCAAGTGCAGACTGTATTACAACAGGACGACAACTAGAGAACTGCTTTCAGTCAGAGTCAAGCGTAAAACACTCACCTCCCTAAACCTTGGACAACAGCAAAAAGATAGCCTTTCGTGAGATAGTCTTCACCTGTAAGTACAAATATCCTGGTGTTTTAATCTGCAAGATCCTGTGGTGTGAACTCTAATCACACCTATATTGATGCCTTTTACTTGACAACGGAAAAATTATAGAACTTGTTTACCCTTATTAGTCATTACGTCTATAGAAAAATGTCTTTACATTCAGAATGTTAGGGAGATATTGCTACTATAATGTTAACATTATTGACTTGAGAAGTAGTGTTACAGACCAATAAACTCCAAACACAACTATAACTATCCCAAAACAGCTAACAAGTCCAGGGTGGGTTTATCAGCTTTGTAATCAATAAAATACATTTTACAATATAATACCAGTGATGAGATGCATTAAACAGTGGTCTGGCACTCAATCATGATAGACTCTGAATCAAAGTTCTACTGCAACAGAATGCAATTTGATAAGCTATGCATATCTAAGAAACTATACAAGTCATTTACATTTCTTTTAAAGTGACAAAAATGAGTAATGTAATATTTTACATTACATTACTCATTCTGTGTAACTTTAGTTATCTTTAAAAAACATCAACTTCATTTCTTTTCTCCTCTCGGTTTTGAACCATATTTCCATCTTAAGATAGAGTTACTGTCTTTTCTCTCTAATCTCCAACAAAATTAGTTTAGAGTATATTGCCTGTCATACATAATCATTAAGATATCAGTTTATTTATAAACTGTGTCATATTTATAAGCTATACAAACTACTTATATAATCAAAATTATATGGATATTTTGGTGTCTTAAGTTAAAGATTGTTTTCTGGTGTTAGCATTACCCTCTTATTTACCACTACCATTATGACTCTGCATACAGTTTCATTGGGAGTCATACTGGGGATAGATGGCTTCCTCCATATGAATTGGGATATGTCATTAAAAGACTCGTCTAGTTTTCATCAAGCATCTTCAAATTTATCTTAATATGCACTAATATGCACAGTGAAAACTTTCCACTACTGCAAAAGTTGATGTGTACTGTGTTCTTATTTTCGCCATTGTAGTGCAGCCAATCAATGCAATGACCTTCTCATGGATTGGCTGCCTTGAAAACACCAGCCAATGGCGTGTCAAGTAGCTTTGCATAGGAGTTTCAGCTTCTCTAGCTGTGTTGTCTTTGGAATATTTTAGATATACTCTACCAAAAAAAAAAAAAAAAAAAAAAAACAAAAAAAGGCAGATTTTCCACATATAATTTTCAAAAATCTGTGAATACTGAACCACAAATAGACTGGCGTCCATTTTAAATTGCAGTGATGTCAGCTCTGTTCCAGACGGAACCGGCCTGTGCCTTTTTTTTTTTTTTAAACCCCATAAATTAAGTGCATCAGTGCTGCTGTGCACAGCCACCCTTGTGGTCACTTTGGAGCTTTGTAGGCAGTGAAATGTCAGAAGGGGTCAGTCTGAAATTTTGCAAACTAATAGGAGACATAATTTAAAAAAGAAAAGAAGAAAGAGCAATGGGTTAAATTAGTCAAAATGCCTAAAGAAAAAAAAAGAGAGAGATGGGTAGGGGAGAAAAACAACAAAACTTTGTGCGGGATGGAACCAAATGTGCCAAAATAACAGATATTTTATGTGGTGGAAGGGCCAAGATCATGATGACACTGGACCAATCAGCATGATTATCTGACCAATCAGCATGACTAGCTGGTTGGCCATGAAATTACCAATCACCATCCTAAGACTCTAACCAGTCTTGGTGTGTTTGTACTTTTTAAAGTTTAGGGCAGGCATTTTCTGATTGACCAGAAAAAGGCATAGGTTTCATTATTGCAAAACAAAAACATTTGGTGTAATGTTGTATTTTTGTTCTATCACTATGAATTATTTGCACAAGTGCTGTAAGGTTTATCATTGTTGCAGTCAAGGACGGTGTCAGCTGTGGTTATGGAGTTGAAAGAGAGGGACAGAATAATGTCAGCCAGAGTAGGAGTGAGAAAGTTGAGGAGGAGATTGATGCATTGGGACAGAAGAAAGAGAAAGAGATGCAAGAGGAGGATGAGAAACAGCGGAGTGGAGTAGGAAAGAATAAGGTGACAGGTTCAGGTACATATTAGGTTGGTATTATTACGTCTTTCCTGTGGATTATATTAACTCTTAAAGATTAAAGAGTTGTGGTCCAAATCTCAGATTTTTGACATATCTGAAAATTTTCCTTCATGACTTTCCTTTCCTTCTGGAAGTTGTTTTTTATTCTCCAATATATGCTTTGATTTTTATAAGCTGAAACCTATTCGCTGATTTTTATTTAAAAATGTTGTCATTAAGCACATAAACAAACACACACTCAGTCATTTTGATCGTTGAAAACATTTAGTGTTTTTATTCCACAAACAATGTATTTTGTTTCAAAATTTTGGCTCTTGTCTGGTGTAGGATAGGCTATATGGCCTCTCCATATGAAGGTATGGGCTGGACTTCCACCCACCTCTTAACTCAACCTTGACATTACAATGGTTGTTGTGGCAGTTAGTTGTTTATGGATATTTGTAACGATAGGTTTGCTCTTCTGTAGTAATGCATAACGTAGTACGTTGGAATATACCGTATCCAAGGGCGTAGCAACGAGTCTGTCACTGGGGGGTCGCATATCGGAAACCTGACAGATCAGTAAATAGCTTGAGCACAAATGTCAAACAGTTATGCCAACAACACATCAGTAATGCGTCATTCTAATCCAGAGGTTCCCAAACTGTGGGGCGCGCCCCCTATGGGGGGCGCCGTGTCATTGCAGGGGGGGGCTCGGGAAGCCGTCTGGATGAAAAATAAAAACAAAACATGAACACTGTATGCGCTGGGTTTTTACCTTAGAATGGCCAAACTCCCTGTTATTCCTATGTCAATTTGATACAGTAGAGGCTTCCACACTTCCGATATATTTGTGTCCTCTGTCACTTTTATCAGCAGTTAAAACTGTTTAATTCGTTGTTAACATGTAACCTGTTTTTCCGAGCCGCCTTTAAACGCAACATGAGCGCTACGACGCTCGCGCTGGGTTTATACCTGTGAAGGAGACCTGCTGCTGCTGGGTGGAGCTACGCAGGTTTGTGTTAGAATCACGGCAGCAAACCAGCAAAATGCAAAGAACTTTTCCTCCAAACTAACCGACTGAGTTGAGTAAAGCTGCTGGATGCAGTGAATGTTAGCTAAAAGATGACTAGCTAATATCAATACAGATCCTTAGGCTTAACAATTACCTTGTAAGCTACCGATGTTGGTGTCTATTTTCAGCTACGTACATTCATTTTGCCCCCAAAAAAGTCGATTGCCCCCCCGACACGCGTTGTTTCAACCAGACAGCCATTTGTAATCCATGGGGGGGGGGGCCCAGAAAATGTTTGGAAACCCCTGGGGGGCGCAGAAGAAAAAGTTTGGGAACCACTGCATTGTGTGTTTTTTTTTTTTGCAGTTCAAATATTTCCCTGCCTTTTGGATTGAGTCTCACTC